GTTCCATGAGTCGATTGGGCCAGGTTATGATACACATGTAAAGCGATGAACTAAAGAATCGGCGAGTGTACACTGTATTCGTCAGTCGGACTCAGATGTTTGGGAGCTTGACACACACATATTCAACGCGTATCAAGAACACGCCAAGTTCCGTCTAAGTACTGTGCGGAAGATGGGCGCTGAATGATCAGGGACCTCTATAGTGAGAGGCTGCAAGGGGGTGCGGGCCGGACAAGCCGTGACCTAGGGCAGGGAGGGTCGGTCAGCCAGGGGAGGGTAAAAAAAAAATAATGACCTTGTATTTTCTGTGCTGAAATTGGTCAGGATGCATACAAGTGAGATCCCAAGCACTCTCTGCTACTTAGTTGACTCAAATTGAGCATTTGCAGGACACCGATCGTCTTCGGCAGCTCGTTCGTCCCGTTTTGGAAGTTTGATCATCAGTTGGTCATATTTTGACAGCAAGATCAAAAGTGGAAAATCACAGCGCTGGTTCCTCAATTTAATAGGCATTTTAGTTAGCAGCGCTTCTCTAAATATTGCAATACGAATAGTTCGGCCCGAAACTTAATTTTAAGTATCTAATTTGGGACTGCATCAAATTGAATAATATTTGTTCTACTATACTTAGAAAAGTGTAACTAACTAAAAGGATCACTAAATCTATTAGTATCCAATCAGAGTGCTCGCCTATGGATTTAGTGAGCAGTTTAGTTAGCTTCACTTTTCTAACTATAATAAAGCAAATATTATTCAATTTGATTCAGTCCCAAATCAGATATTTAAAGTTGTGTTTCAGGCCGAACTATTTGTATTGCAATATTTAGAGAAGCGCTGCTAACAAAAATGCCTATTAAATTGAGGAACCAGCGCTGTGAATGAGTGCTGGAGGCCTCTGACGCTGCCCGAAAAGGAAATATTTCCTTATTTGGACGTCACGTGGTAGGGTGGGTCCCCCAAAAGGTCGATAATAAAAAAAACGGCCCAAGGTGTTTTTTTTTATTTTCCGTACCCCCTTGAGAGGCTGACTGGGCTAAGAGAGGTTCAAGTTTGATAGAGTTAATAGCCAAGGTTCGAGACGTATTCACACCGTTTGCACTGTGGACCACACAGGAAGGTACGCAGGATAGTGACAGTCAAGAGGAGATAATCGGAGAACTGCGGTGGGAACACGATCACGTGAATGATTGGATCTGATTAGCGTCTGATGCAGATCATCGAGCGGAGTTTTCAATTTTGTTGCATTTTCTGGGAAAGAGTGCTCAGGACATTCTTACTCTGCTCGCGGGGGTCGGCCGCTTCAAATCTGCTCTGTGCTATCGCTGTGCTATTGCTTGGTCTATTGGTATGAACGGTTCTGAACCTTACAGATGGCCGAATTCTGTATCTGAACCTCTAGAGTTGTGTGCGGGCGAAGGGGAAAGTTATGTAAAGGACAGGAAACGAATCCAACGACGAAAAAACCCGGCCGCATCGCCCCGCGGATCAACGCTGCCGAGGTTCAGATTCGCAAAAAAGCCGCAAATATTTGGATGACTCACACTGTCAGCACGGTTGCAATGGGGAACAGCGCGGTTTAAAAGTCGGGAATATCATTTTTTTCCCCTCTTCAAGACAACCCACATGGCAATTCTCAAACTATACGGCGGCAGCACGGCCACTTCCACTCGGCGCGTTGCGACTGTCCTCCACGAGCTGAAAGTCCCCTTTGAGCTCATCGAGATCGACGTCAGGCATGGCGCGCACAAGACCCCAGAGTACTTGAAATTTCAGCCGTTCGGCCAGATTCCTTACATCGTACGACATCCTTTTGGGGATTACTGTATTGTCAGGAGCTTACCAAAAACTAGGACGACGACGGCTTCATTCTGTACGAGACGCGCGCCATCTGCCGCTATATCGCAGCGAAATACCCTGCGTCCGGTCTCATCCCGACTGAGCCAAAGGCTAATGCGCTGTTCGAACAGGCTGCCTCAGTGGAGCTCACGAACTTTGACCCGAGCGCCAGCACGGCTGCGCTTGGACTGTTCAAGAAGTAACTGCACCTCGCTCTCTGAATTGAGACGCGTTTTCAATGGCTTGTATTTGCGCAGAAGTATGGGCTGGCCGAACGACGAAGCGGTCTTGACCCAGCAGCTCGAGATTTTAGATATGAAACTTGAGGCATACGAAGCGATACTCTCGAAGACTCGATACCTCGCTGGGGAGGTACATTGACTGTTACTTGTTATCGTCCCAGTTCATTGCTCACGGGAGGAATAGACGCTCACTCTCGCGGACCTCTTCCACCTCCCATACGCCGGGATCATAGGTTCGGGCGAGACTGATATCTTGACCCGGCGCCCCAACGTTGCTCGGTAGGTGTCATTGTATTTCATATTTGGTTGATTGGTTGATTTGCGACAGGTGGTACAACGAGCTCATTTCGCGTCCGGCTTGGTTGGCCTATCAAGAAGGGGGAGTGAAGACCACTACAGCGTATTGAGGGCGAGGTTATGAAGCAGAGTCCGGTAATATGCAGCAATCTGAAAAGTTCAAACATTAGCGACGAATATTGAAGATGCACTGAAATCTAAAGAAGTCAATCCACTGGTCCGAATCCACGAGTCAAAGTCGAATTGAAGTCGAACCTACCACTGGCAGTCGGAGTACCGAGTAAAGTATGTCTTTTCTTCCACTTCTTGAATTAATAGCCTACCAAAGTTGCGGGGATCGTATGCCCTTTCGTCTCTGGAGACGTCTCCATACATAGGATTTGTCCCCCAGCGGACTGAAGTCTCTTGAGTTCCTAAGTACACTTCGTTAAAATTAGCCTGTAACTTGAAGGATCCCTTGATCGTCAGATTTGAGTAGGTAGGTAGGTAGGTAGGTAGATCATCCCGACTTTCGTTCTGATCGGGGGAATAATTACAGCGCCTTGCCCTTAAAGAGGATCATCCTGGCAGATACTAGTAATGGCACCATCTGCGTGACGTATCAGGTTTCAGCAAGCAATTATCTGCAATTACCTCCTCCGCGCAAGCAACGTTGCTATGGAGGCCATGAATGTACCCACAGCAACTGAGATTTCGTGATCATCGAATGCCGCGAACACCGCGCTTGGCATCATGCGGCGTCGATCATATATAAGTCCGAGACCTTCGAATCGGATTCTCTATTCCCTGGCTGGACACCCCTCTTCGTTTTCTTTGGCCGACGCTCCCTTTTATTCCGTCTTTCACGATGCTGTTCTCTATCTTGCTCGCCGGCGCCTTGTGTCTAGACGCGTTCGCAGCCCCTATATCCGATGCTAAGGCGAGGGCGTCTGACTCTTTTGCCCAGTCTGGTGTGTCCCGCAAAAATTCCCATACACTTCCACGATTGAACAATGCTGTTTTGTAGTGAAAGTCGGCCTTTTCGTTCCAATCGTAGCGAAATCAGACACAGTTGGGAACGTCTCCGCTTTCCTGTCGTCGGCAATACCCCTAGTCGAGGCGGAGCCCCAAACCGTCCAGTGGTACGGCGTCAAATTCACCAACGTCTCCTCTCCGGCATTTGCCATCTTCGACACATTCCCCTCCGAGTCCGCCAGGCAGACACATCTCAACGGAAAGGTGGCCGGAGCACTTTTCGACAACGCCGATGCCCTCTTGAGTACTGCACCAGAGATCGATCCGGCAAACATCCTGGCAGCCAAACTGGTAGGTGCCGATTGCCCGTAAAAGACGCCGAGACTCAAGTTGTACTGTCAGGTTGAGAAATCAGGGAACAACAGCCCAACCGAGGGCCTGAGTGTCGGTTTGAATGTCCAGTTCACAGCCAAGCCCGGCCAGGTGCAAGCGACCAGGGACTTCCTCGTCGTAAGCTCATTCGATCTTGACAACTTCGGGGCGTTTCTAATCCGCTGCACAGGGTGCCCTGCCCCTCGTCGAAGCGGAGCCTCAGACATTGGACTGGTACGCCATCGAATTCCCCGACACCAACTCGTTCGCCATCGTCGATTTCTTTGCGAGTGAGGACGGGCGGAATGCGCACTTGAACGGCAAGGTCGCTGCCGCGTTGTTCGGGTCCGCAGATAAATTATTCACGGCGCAACCGAATATCATCAAATTTGACGTTGTCGCGGCGACTTTCAAGTAGTAGTACACCAGAGGGAATAAATGTGATTCCGAGTCGGTGTGAATTCGTGGTACTGGATGTGATGCTTACCGGTGAAATTTCCGATCACGTTGTACTTCTCCCGATATTCATACGATCTGGATGGATAAATGCCCCAGAACTCAGAATGCTGTGCAAACCAGGAGTTCTGTGGAGTCGAGTCGAGTATCTACCCGACTCCCGAAGCCGCCGTTGGTCCGATTGCACACACGGTGTTCCCGTGCAACGTGACTGTGCAACCATTCCCGGCCATCTCGGGCTTGGATGTTGCGAATGATGGGGCTTCTCGGGGACATCTAGTCTCCTAGAAAGAGCCTTCGATATTTCGAACTCGTAGATGAAATTTCACGGGAAGTTATAGATGAGCGCGAGGCGGCTGGTGCATTTATAGATTATTCCTCGGAGGAAGTCCGTCAATTCCCACTAACTGCCGACGGGCTTTACTGCCTTCGATTGTATACCATGCATCAACACTTCAGAGTGTTGAATAGTCCCCATAGCGTATGGTAGTGCACTCCCCTCTGATTCTCCATGATAAATATGATGTGAGGGAGCGAAGGTGGTTCGAATCCATCTGGGGGCATACTATTTCAGCATAACTTTTTTCTCACTCGAGTTACTTATGTGAACGAGCCAGACAGATGCCGCTTAGACTCCCAGTGATTCAGAGTATGAAAAAGTCCCTATAGCGCATGGCAGCGCACTCCCCTCTGATTCCCCAGACAGCTGCAGGATCTGGGAGTGAAGGTGGTTCGAATCCACCTGGTGACGTTTGCGATACGTGCTGAATAATTTTTACTTGAGTTGTGGAAACGAGCCACCTAGAAGCCAATGAGACTGCCAGACCGAGAAAGTAGTTAAAAGTCCTCATGGCGTATGGCAGCGCACTCCCTTCTGGTAATGTAATGTTGGCATAACAATCTGGGAGCGATGGTGGTTCGAATCCACCTGGGGACATTCTCGGTTGTTAAGCGCTTTTTTTTTCAGTTCGCTCCGAGCTCCGAGCTGAGTAACACCTAGTTAGTAGTGAGTACTAGGAGTCGAGAAGACGGGCACGAGCACGAGCGGTAAGACGGCAGCAACGGAAGATAGTATTCTCATCCTCAACCTCGACTCGACGCGACGGCGAACAGCGAACATGGCCTCCGTCGCACGCGAGACAGACAGACCGAACGCATGCGTCGAATTCCAATTCCAATTCCAATCCCAATTCATTATGCAACTGGCTATGTAGGGTAGGGTGATAAATGCAAGGTGGGCGCGTCGAGTCCGAACGGTAGAGGTAGGTACGTGCATGGCGCCGTGGGGTCGATGGATGTGAAGATGCATGGATGGGAAGATGTGAACGTGAACGTAGATGGTATGATGAGAGCGGTCGGTCGTAGCTATAGTCCGTGGGAGGGAGATGGTCATAAATACGTACGGTACGAGGGTACGAACGTGCGTGCGTGCGGTCGGGAGGGAGGGAGGGAGGGAGGGCGACATGAAGGAGGATGAGGATGTAGCGGATGTAGGCTGCCTGAGGCAGAGCGACGGAAAGGAGGGGGACGCGGGTTTTGTGCTGCGCCGCATCGGGAAGGGAGTAACGCGCCGCTACAGCACCACGAGCGCACCGAGCAGCACCCCAAGCGCGCTCACGCCGAGCTGCAGCAGCAGTCGCGTCCCGCCCTGCATCCGCGCCCCAGCAGCCGCGTTCGGCGACGTCGACGCACTTCCGGACGAGCTGGGTGCCGTTACGCTCGCCGAGCCCGAGGAATGCGATGCAGCGGAGGAGGAGGAGGAGGGCGCGGCCGACGATGACGGCGTGAAAGAGGGGAAGGAGAGGCTGGTGGGCTTTGCTGCGGCGGCGCAGAACTGCTCGACGAGGGCTTCGGCGGAGGCGACTTCGGAGGGGCAGGCGGTGAGGCAGGAGACGAAGGCGGTGGTGTAGTTCTTGGGGCTGGGGTCGACGTGAGATGGGCGGGAACAAAGGAAGGGAGAGAGGGCGGAAAGACGCACTTGGGACAGAAACAATCGACCGACGCGAGGCCCGCGCAGTTGTCCGCGCTCGTCGCGATGCCGAGGCAGGTGTTCACTGCGGCGGCGGCGACGAATTCAATCAGCACGCGACGAAAACGACGAAAGTGGGCAGCACACCGCACGAAGAAACGCCGCTCAGACTCGGAAGCGCCGCCGAGTTGCTTGGTGTGCCGAGGCTGTTGGAGCTGGCGCTGGCGCTAGCGCTCGTGGGGGTCGCGCTGGCGGTGGCGCTGCGACTGCTGCTGCTGCTTGCGGCCGATACGGAGGCGCCGAGCGCGAGCACGAAGACGAGGAGGAGGCGCGGCAGCATGGAGGCTGGAGAGAGGGTGCTGCAAATACATGCAATCAAGTATAAGTAAACAAGTCTATCTTGCTTCTTACCTTCGTCTATGAGCCGGGTCGGGTTCTGGCGGCGGAATATTCGGTCAATATTGCTGCTTTTGTCGTGGGTCCAACTATATAGGAGAAAAAGATATGTATCACCTACAATTTTTTTCCCCGCACTGCCCAAGCCTATTCTTACCGCCGCCATTACCGTCGATGCCTCACCGCTGCAGCCCCAGGCGCTCGCTCACACTGGCTCCCAAATATCTTGAATGCTATTCTCGTCATTGTGGCCCTCTGCATCTCTGATTCTATCCCCGCGCGCGACTGCTGTTAACCCGCGTTCATTTCTGATCCCTTGGCTGTTCAACGTTCATCCCTTGGCTGTTCATCCCTTGGCTGTCAGTGCCTGCTGCTGCGCATGGCGGTGAGCGGTGACCTGACTCAGCCGTTGGCGATTCTCAGACTTTGAGAACGTTCCATCCTCGATTCTACGTCGACATCATCATGACCCTTCTTTCCTCTGTCCCACCGGGTCACCGTCCGATCCTTCAATCTCCTGTCCCTTTCCCAATTCTTCTCTTTCTGCCTTCCCCGCTCTAGGAGGCTCCCTGCAGGCCCACCTTACCGCCAGCACCGTCGATGCTTATCTCGCGACGGAGCGCGCCACTCTATTCCCCCGCTTGCTCAGCCTGGCTCCGAGTCCCAAATATCATGAATACTATTCTCGATTGCTGTCAACCCGTTTCAATCCATTGGCTGGTACCGCCCGCTGCTGGCATGGCGGGGACTCGACTCAGACTCCGGCGACTCTCTTCCCGACTCAGATGTTCTTGAATCCCGCTATGTATGTATGACCCACAACTTCTTTTTTTTCTTTGTGTGACGGTCGGGGAGATGATTCGGGCTGGTGGACATCTGCTCGCCTTCTTCGTCGCTCTCAGGCTTCTCGCTCGCGCTGTCTTTCTCCAGCTCTTGCTCACCTGACTCGGAAATCTCGCTATCATCGTCCTCATTCCCTTCCTGTGCCGCCTCCCGCATGACGCGTTTCATCCTCGATTCTCCGACATCATCATCATCACGGCCCTTCTTTCCCCTCTCCGAGTCTCCCCTGCCTGGTCCTTCAATCTCCTGTCCCTTCCCGATTCTTCTCTTTCTGCCTTCCCCGCTCCAGGAGCCACTACTGTCGACGTGTAGACACCTTTCCGCGCCAATCCGTACTTGCCCACCAGGCTCCGAGTCCCAAATAGAATCCTACTCTCGTCGTTGCGGCCCTCGCATCCAACTTCCAAGTATTCAGGGCCTTCCCGCCCGATTGCTGGTACCCCGCGTTCAACTACTCGGACGTTCCCGACTTTGGATTATACAGATTCCCGACTTTTGGATTATACAGAGTCCAGACACCCTTCAGCGCGCCACTGTACTCCCCAACCTGGGTCCGAGTCCCAGAATATCTTGATTCTTGAATGCTAGCTATTCTCGTCGTCGTCTATTCCGGGCTTTCCCTATTAATTCTGGACCCACGTTTGTTATTAATAATCCCTTGCCTGCTGCGCACGGCGATGACTTCACAGACAGGCATGACTCAGATGCCGGCGACTCTTCTCAGACTCCGGGACCCAACTCGGGTTTTCTTGAACGCCGCTGTCCTACGATTCCTTTTTCTTTAGAAGAGGCCCCTCGCCTTTTGGCGCAGCAAGATTCCAAAGCATAATTCATTGGAGAGATCCATCCCAAAGCCATAGATCTACATCTGCGAAATTTTTTCGAGGTTTTCGGGTTAACCTGAATATTCTTGCGCCCAAAGTGAGAGAGTTAAGCGCCGTATGCGCGTGTTTGGCATCCCACCTCTCAATGCGGTCCCATCATGCCAGCTCTCATCCTTCACTTCACCGGAGGGCAGGACGCAACGAGGCCGATGACACTAGCATCGTACACCACGCCCCCTCGGCTCTTGAGGCTTGAAGGCCAATAGCCTGTGCTGCACGGCAGCGTCCCGAATCCCGATGCCGATGGACTGGACAGCGATGTACAGATGTCATTATCTCGTGCATACGCGGCATCCGAATCCCGATATACAGTAGAAGTCCAAGCCAAGGATAGCATACCAGAATAACGAGGATAGCACGGACCAGGATAGCGCTCCGTCCATCGGTCAGGCGCACCTCGGCATCTCGACTCACTGTCAACTGAATTGTTGTCAGGTTTCGAAAATATCAGCGACCGAGTAGAGATTGATTGCGCTTGCATTCAATTATTCAATACGACTCGCGAGTGGCGCATTTATCAGTCGAGTTTCTCCTGAAAAGGGCAGTGTCGGCCTCCACAGTGGTATGTCCGTGAAGTTGAAGTTCGAGGTAGGCGTCTGCTCTAATTTCGGGAATTGCAGGACGATATCCTCCTGAAAGTTGGTTGACGCGAGTTTTCGACGCGACGGTCTGATTCTCCGGGTCCTTCGCTTCCAGTGCGTAGTCGGATGACTGGCCGCAATCTTCATCTCGCCTTAGCGCACTAACCGCTTAAGTGTTCCTGGTTCCTGGTGCGCTTCGTCTTATCTTCTTACGGAATAGCGTTGCACGTTTATCGATACCCCGCGTCATGCGGCTCGCGGATTCAGATGACGCAGGGAGGGCCGTATATATACTGCTTGGATGGCAGGGCTTTCCGTTGCCCATCAACCCGTCGTCGGTCCCGGGTTTCCAGTGCGTATTCGCAGCCTCTTCTCGAAATTTATAAACGCAACTAATCGCATCGTTTCCGAGTAGCTCTTTTCCACCATGTTCTTCCGCTCGTCCGCCCTCTTCGTTGCCCTCGCGTTTGTCGCCTCAATCCGAGCAGCACCGACGTCGACCGTGTCTCAACCGCCCCCGGTCCCCCTCATCACCAACGGCGCCGCGATCGCCGCGGGGCTCAAGACCCAAGCCAGCGTCGTCGACCGCCTGAAGAAGCTCCTCACGGACGGGAACGGCAACCTCCTGACCGGCGACGCCCTCCGCGACCTCACCGTCTTCGACTTCAACAACCAAGCCCCCGCCGCGGGCGCCAAGGGCGGCTCCATCCTCCTCGCCACCGTCGACAACTTCCCGCTCCTCACGGACCTCGGCGTCGCGGGCGCCGTCTCCTTCATCGAGCCCTGCGGGCTGAACATCCCGCACCTCCACCCGCGCGCGAACGAGATCCTCACGGTCGTGGAGGGCGTGCTCGACGCGGGGTTCGTGCAGGAGAACGGGTTCGACGCGGAGGTGAAGAGCACGCTCGGGACGTACCAGGCGACGGTGTTCCCCATGGGCAGCATCCACTACCAGCAGAACCCGACCTGCTCCCCGGCCGCGTTCGTCGCGGGGTTCAGCTCGGAGGATCCGGGAAGGAGCGATATCGCGACGAGCTTTTGGATGTTGCCGGCTGATGTGGTGGATGCGGCGCTGGGGTTCCCGCATACGATTGGCGGGAAGACTATTGATGCGTGGAGGGCATATTTGCCGGTTAATTTGGCAGCGGGCGTGGACAGCTGTTTGCAAGCGTGTGGGTTGTCAGAGTAGAGCTAATCGCGCGTAAATCCCCAGAGACACTCCTTGATCAACGACAAACTCGTTCCTTTCTTGTAGATAATAATC